TACTAATAGCAATGTTGGGATTTTTGTTTGTTTTCTGCTCATTTCATAAACTTGCCTAAGAATCAATTAAAATGCTGAATTAATCAGCAAAGTATTGTTGATAGGAAAAATATCTAACAATTCTATCAAACTATTTTTCTGTTTGATTACATATCCATTATAAATGTTTAGTATTATACTTAAATTTACAACCATGCAGGGGCAGTCCAGGATCTAATGTAAGCAAATCAAACTTTGGGGAGTTTAATAGATCAATCTGTAAACAAATGTTAGAGAGCCACCTAGTGGTGCAAATAATGCATAAGACACTCATTTATCAAAAATGCCAAGCCACTTAAGTACTCCCTTTTTATTGCCAGTTAGCAATGTTTCATAACAACATGGACAGGCCACGTGTACCTAAGACCAGAAAAATACTGATAATGGTGCATTTTTTGTTAATAGTTTCCCTATCTAATTCAAACTCATTTGTACTATCCCAGGAATAGCAAGTGTTACTTGTCCTATTGATTATATTCCAAAAGTGGTATATATTAATGGAAACAATACACAGAGACTTTTTAAAAAAAAAATGCATACATGAAAATGAGGGTAGGGAGAAGAATTACTATGTTCATTTCTATTCAACTGAGAAACACACCTTTAACTGAAAAGGCAAAAAATTCTCAGCACAGGAACACTGATATCAAACAAAGAACAGTATGGAAGGCATGGCTAATTATACACCACATTTGCATGATATAAAATAACACACTGATTAACTTTATATTACTGGAATTCGGTGGAGATTTAGTGCTCGAGAGGGAGGAGGGATGCCAACCGTATTTTTGGCTCGAGCCAGGTAGTAAGCACAGGTGTTGTACAACCTTCCCCATGCAGTTCAGATCACAAGCCTCGCTTCTGCCCCTTGGTAGTCAAATTCCAGGCTCCTCTTCAGAGGTGAATACTAGTAATACTCTATAATGCCTCATTAATTGTGTGTTGTAGGGGCTAGTATTTGAGGAGGCCAAGTGTTCACTATGGTCTAAGATTAGATCACTAAAATCAGTTTCAAAAGGAGATAGTATGATGCTAAGGATTCAAAGTCTGAAAATTCCTGAATTTAAGAAACACTTTCTTGGAATAAAAGATACACTCCCACTATAAACATAATAGAACACTTGGACTAGGCTTGCAGCTCTGGAGAGCAACTTCTCCATCAAATGGAGATGCAGAAACCCACAAAATAAACATACTGCAGAGTCCTGATATTGCATTGTGATCTTTGTAGTATGACACTGAACTGTTGGAACGCTAAATCTTCAAGTGTGGATACATCACAATGAAAACATTTCCTTGGAACTTCAGGACATCATACTGCAATTACTTTACAGCTCTCTTCTTCCTCATTTAGCACAATCTCCCAACAGTAAGTATATGCTTAAATACTTTGCTGAATCAGGACCTAGGAGAGATCCTGGGGACTTCTCTCCAGTTATCCAGCACTCTCCAGCACACTGCTTCACATGCATCAAGCAGTGTTCCATTCAGTCTGCCGAACATCAGGCAACCTATTTGCAGCTACAATCAAACCCTGATCTCCTCCAGCATCTCATGCAGAGACAGTCAATATGACACTAGAGCTACAGTTGAGTATCACTGGGATAGCCCAACCCCACTGTCTTTAAAACAGACATATGAAATCCCTTGCTTTACTAGGAAAGTCATGTTTCCCTTCCTAAGACAAAGTCAATTGAGTACCCACATACTGATTTGCCTGTTTCCGGAGCTGAATTTCTCTAAAAATCTTATGATAATGGTACATCTGAGATATTTGATTAATTTTTTTTATTTCTATTTACAATGTTGTAGTTGTTTTGTACATTAGCTTTCAGTGTCTGAAAAGCTGAATTTTAGAACTACACCAAATGTAAATTCATACAGGACTACACTTGCATCCCTATAGACCAGGGGTTGGCAACCTTTGGCACGCGGCTCACCAGGGTAAGCAGCGCGGGCCGAGGGATGTGTTGGCCGCCACTTCCTGCCGCCCCCATTGGCCTGGGATGGCGAACCACGGCCAGTGGGAGCTGTGATCGGCCGAACCTACGGATGCGGCAGTAAACAAACCGGCCCGGCCCACCAGGGTGCTTACCCTGACGAGTCCCGTGCCAAAGGTTGCCGACCCCTGCTATAGACAAAGGCTATGCCTACCCTACAAGCACTACAGCAGCAGCATTGCAGCTACACCACTGTAGCACTGTAATGCAGACACTTGCTATAGCACCGGAAGGGTTTTTGCCAATTACTGTAAGTAAGTCCACCCCCTCGAGAGGCGATAGCTAGGTTGATGGAAGAATTCTTCTGTTGACGTAGCTGTGTTTACAATGGGGCTTAGGTCAGCTTAACTATGTCTTTCAAGGGTGTCAATTTTTCACACCCAAGTGACATATCTAGATCAACCTACGTTTTAGGTGTAGACCTGGCCTAAGGCTCTAAACTAGTAACACATATACATGAGACAGTGAATACATCACAACATGCCATCATATTAAAAGTACAGTATAAGTATTCTTCCATATGCTAGTCTATTCCCCCCCCCCCAAAATGTTAACTTCTACAAGTATTGTTAGGATAAGGGTATTAGTAGAGTTATTTGAAGTTTAAAAAACTGAGAAAGAGATCTTTGACCAAAAAAACTTCTTCTAGGAGGGAAAGAGGAAAATTTTGTCATATCCCCTCAAATTAACCCCACTAACATTTTGGAGAATGAGAACGAGGCATACATGTTTACAGACAGATAGATAGAAATTGCTCCTGCTGATTATCTAATTTCCTACATTAATGCGTGAGTGGCATTTCTGTACTTCCTGAGCAATAAGACACAACAGACTATGCGTTGTGATGGATAGCCAGATTGCTTAATGTTGTTGTGGTCACACTATATCTGCACTTCCATTTTTGTCAAACTTCTTCACAAAAGGCCCTACTCAGTGGGACTCTTCCTGATGGTCTGCAATGTGAGTTGGATCAGGCTCAAAGTCAATTAAAAAGAAAGAGAGAGACTCAGAAGATGAAAACAGAGCTTGCTTTTGGACACTTGCTTTGGATAGAAAACCTTTTGGGTTTAGACACCAAACATTATATAACTGAGCTGTAAAACAGAGCAATCGACATATCCACAGATCACTCCAAGCAGGAAAATTAGCCACATAATACTATATCATCTCAATTATTCCCTAAGAAATGATACAGTAGCAGAGGAAAAAAATGTTGATATTGTTTTTAAATACTGCTTTTATTTTAAATGAACAAGAACACTTTGAAGCCTAAGACACTGCTGGATCACAACCCTGTCTCTTCAGACACTGGTAGTGTAAAACCAGTTTCAGGAAAGTGATTTTTCTTTTTTTTTTTAAACAAATAAAGGTCCTCCATTACATACAGACATAAAATGGCCCTGGTTCAGATCCTCAACAGCTCAAATTTAAAACTGGAGATTTTTTTTTTAGCCCCCAGACATTCTATAATTGCAATAACAAAACTTTATGCCTGATTTATTGTATAATAATTCACATCTATACATGATATGATGGCACTTGGTCTACAACCTCCTGCCTGACAATGCACCTATTTGTGAGTTATTACAAAATAATTCACACCCTGCCATATCTTATTGCTTCATTTACACTGGAAAAATACTCACCTTTCTATGTTGGATATTGACTTCCTAAGCAACTGAATACCTCTTATTATAAAAAGAGGTGACCGGGCATCTTCTAATTTCTTTTAATCAGCATTTGTTACCCGGTTGTCATTTATATTATGGACAAACCCATCAGATTTAGTAGACTGTCATGTATATATTGGGGGCAGAGTCAGAAGAGAAGGGGCTTAATTCTGCCCTGCTGTAATCCTGGTATAAACTCCATCTGTTTACACTGGGGCCTGATTCTGTTCTCACCTACACTGGTGAAAATAAGGAGCAATTCCACTAAAATCAGTTGTCATACTAGTATAAAAGTGAGAGGAAAATTGGGCCCCATAGCTGAATTTGGTGCTAGATTTCATTTCCCTCCCCCCACCCCCCCCCATCTTCTACCAAACTAATTTCTCCTTCTCTGGTTTAGCAGCTAGTGAAACATTTGGCATGCAATTTGTTGGGCCTTTGCAATTAATGCTACACTGGGTTAGAATTTCACAGCACTGAAACCACTTGACCATACCAATGTCATATTTGAAATTAATCAAAGATGCTACTGGGTTCCTTTGTTTTTTTTAAATTCCTCCAACGTATGTACAAATGATTTGAGTATAAATATATATAATCTGATTCTCCACTATCTTGCATCTTGTATAACCATTTACACCTCTGCAGAGTCAGGGGAAAATATTACCAGGTGTATTTGAGCAGAGACATATCACTTGATAGCACTCAACACACACTTTGGTGGTAGGCAGTGGAGAATCAGGCCCATTGTACAGCAACACTGTAATAACACTGTTTATGAGTGGCATCTTACTATAATTTTATCTGTTTTCTGTGAATATTCATATGCACAATGGTTCTGGAGACAAAATGTCATGGTGTGTTTATATGGATTTTCACGACAAAAAAGTGAATTATTCATTTACTCATCCTGTTTATAAAATTTTCAGGTGTCCAACCAGGCAGCAGAAGTAATACTGTCTTAAAGGATGAGCCACACAGAGCAAATAGCTATTTGTAAATCACTAATATTCCAATAGTCCTAGGGAATAATTCCCAAATAATTACGGCTGAAGTGTATTTACATAAAAATAGTAGAATAATGTCAAATAACCCAAAAATGATATTCTACTAATGGATAATTCATGATCAAAAATGGGCTAAATTTGTCAAAGGAACTGACTGCTATGAATAATATGCCCAGCTCTAGTCATGGAGTTTCTGGGCTATTCACCTGAAGCACCCTGTATAATCCTCCTTTGTGCTTTCCTAGTTACAGCACTACTGCTTCTCACATGTCCTCTTTATATACCTCATATATAGTTCCATCGGCACAGTGCAGTACCCCATGACCCTGTCGCTGGTCCAGGATCCAGTCTCCTTCATACTTATCACCATTCCTGAAACAACCAACCAGGAGAAAATTCTTAATGTTTACATGCTTTGTGACTTGGTAGATAACAATGTGCTATACTGGAAAACGAGGGCTTGCGAACCTGCAGGATAAGCCATTAAAAGTAAACAGCAGCAGATGATAAGCATGGTCACAGAGAAGTCAGCATGATAGTGCCCACAACCTTCAACTGGCACTTCCTGTGGGAAGCAGGCAACCATCTGGAAGTACTTAATTCAGCCAGGTCCCATCACTGGCCTTCAAACCTTTTTCACCTCAGAGACAGACAATGGATGATACATTGCATGAGTTAGTTCTATATGAGACCCTTCCCTTTATTCCCTGATTGAGTCTGATCATGCGAGGTGCCTTCTGAGAAGTGCTCAAAAACATGGAGCCATTTGTGAGTCAGAGGCACAGGTAAGGTACAGCTCACTTTGCAACCAAGATAAGCCAACAAATAGAGTAGATCAGCATGACAGGCTATGGAAATGGCCTGTTAGCAGATTCTCATTAACCCTATTAGCAGAAGTCCTCTATAGTTCCCTACTGGGTAAGAATGATTGATCAGCTTCTACCATGCTGTCAAGCCCTTTCTGGTATTGTTATTCTTACATTGTATGCTTACTTATACGCTGGTATGTGATCAGTGGTGGCTACTATCCATGCACAGCCAATACAGAAACAAAAAATAGAAAAACAAAGTGCAAAGCATAAGCAAAGGGCCTAATCCAAATCCCACTGAAGTCCATGATAAGATTTCCACCTTGACTTCAGAGGCTTTGGATACATCCAAAGTGTAAATTAGTTTTGCTGAGCTATCGTTTGACTCTACAGCCAATGGCACATGGAGTCTCTGCAACTAAAACTTCAGGACTCAGAATTCTGGCCAAATAAAACCTTAACCTAGCAATTCCTGGCCACACAGAAAGCCATTGATAGTCATGCTCAAGCATGATTTTTGGTGAGGCTGACCTTCATTGTAAATATACTGTATTTAGATAATGACATTACTTTTGAAAGTTATTTTAATCTAAAAAACAAAAAAAAAGGTTAACAAGTGGCAGATCCAGAGCTAATCAGTTATTGACAGAGCTGTGTGTTACTGGCATAGCTAAAGCAGTACCACAGTGAAGTACTGATGATTTACAAGCAATTACAACAGCAATGCTTGCACTGTGATTGCCAGGACTTCCTGTGTAAATTCATCTTTTTAGGAGTTCAATATCTCAGCTCAGGGTATAGACTGAAACTCCACATATAAAATCTTAACTTTCGAGTTTATGTGGCTATCTTTAAGATACAGCAGTACTAATTAGTTAAAAAAAAATCTTTTTAACATTCTTGCAATTTAAATATCGCTTTTGTATTTCACTCTGAAAACCTAAAACCCTTTATGCACTGGCAGGGAAATCTAGGTCATTTATTTCAAGTATGAAAGCAGATTATGTCTTTTTAAAGAACCCTTTCAGAAAGTCTGTCAGTAGTGCATGTGGACTTGGTACATATGTCCAACAGCTAAACACCAATTCAAACAAAATTCTGTCCAGCTTCCATGCTGAGGAAGTCCATGCAATGCCTCAAAAGAGGTGGAAAAAAATCGACATCCAAACCTCGCATAGGTTTTCATGGCGTGGAACCTGCATGGATTGTTTTTGCTTAATTGAATCCAAAGAATCTCTATGTACAATATTCATTAGCAGGACAGAGAGTAATCAGTCCAAAAGGGATCGGACAAATGACAGTGTGCTCGAGACAATTTTTAAACTTTCAAGTTTCCACAGAAGTTTTTCTTGTTTTGATTTAATAAAACAAGGACAATAAAAATTGCATTAAGAGTTTGTGGTTTAACACAAATGTAATAAAATTCAGAATTGAGTGCGAACTTAAATATTGGAGAAGACGTAATTACTTGTTAGAAGATCCAAATGAAACGATAATCTTTTATACATGCAAAATGTGAACTGCTAGATCTAGGCATAACAGAGTGAGTTTCACCTTAACTCACTTTCCCAATTTTTGCATGTTTAATCCAGCCCCTAAATATTATATTAACAAGAGCAAAACAACTAATACAATAAGATTAAAAACTTACTTGAAGGTCATTTTCCCTCCTCCATGTTTCTTATTATTGTGAAAGGTTCCTTGATAAGTTTGTCCATCCTTATCGACAAGTAATCCATGTCCTAAATAATAATAATAATAATAATAATAATAAATAGAAAATCTACATCAGACACCAACAATCTCTAGAGACAGGAAATATCCTTACATATCCTTGCAATAAAATCCCTTAATATGTGGTTTTTGAATATAGTTAGTTTCTAAACTGCACAGAAAATATCTACTTCAAACTCAGGGCACAGCCAATTGATGAAGATTTAAGCAAAAAAAAAAAAAAAAAACTCAAACAAACAGTTTGGGTTTTAATTCAAATCAGGTCAGATGTGGTTGTTTATTTCAGTGGCACCCGCCATGTGCTAGGTGCTGTAAGAACTAAAGCCCTGATCCTACAGAAAGACATACACACACTTTTATGCATTGAGAGTAGTCCCATTAAAATCATCAGAGCTACTCACAGTGTCTCTAGTCAAGTAAGTGGTCCTGTCCCAAAAATTTGAACATTCTATGGGCTCAGTCCTGCAAACAATTACACAGGTGAGTAGTCTGACTTCAATGGGATTAATTACATGCATAAATGGGACTACTCACGCATGCAGAGTTACTCATCTGTGCAAATAATTGCATGATCAGGCCTTTTGTCATCTAATTCTAGCTGAACAAATATAAAAATGGGTTTACTTCAAATCTCCAGAGGTTTGCATTATACTCAGTCTCATCATCCCAAATGTTCACTCTACCAGGCTCCAGCCAATTAAAGTGTAAACACAGTCAGTGCCAAATTCAGTTGTTGTGTAAGCAGGTACTTAATCTGAATGTGGCCACCAAAATGCACGAGTCCTTGGTTTAATCTGTTGTAAATGAACTTTTCTAACTAAGTTTTCTATGCTTGAGACACTCCTGGGGGTAGGGAAAGGGAGACAGAGTGAAGGGATTTTACCCCAATTAGTAAATAAGGCCTATTTCAGCAAGATACATGTGATTAATGTTAAGTGCACATAATCCACTGAATTCAATAGAACCACTTACATGCTTAAAGTTAGGTCTGAGCTTTGCTGAATCAGAGACTGTCTACTATTCTGTGTGTATAATACCTAGCACAATAGGGTATTGATTCCTAGGCACTGCTGTCATAAATGTGATTAATAATGAATAAAATAAAATAATAATAATAATAATAATCAGGACCTCAATTACTTCAGAGTGAATTTTAATCAAAGTTTCCTCTCAGACTTTAACCTACCTGCTCTCATTCCATAGGAGAACTCCCCTTCATATTTCCCACCATCTTTGTACTGTATGACTCCATGTCCATGGAGCTCTCCAGAAACGAACTGACCTGAATAAGTGTTTCCTTGAAGCAAATATATGAGAAAGTAAAGTGGAAAAAAGACATAATAGCTGTGTCAAATGTGGTTTAATAATCTTTTTTTTTTTTTAAGTCTAAGGTGTGCTAATAAATAAAGGTTCCTATTGTACCTTACTTACAGAGCAGTGGTAGAAGGTATTTTAAAAGTCATAAAATGAATAATTAATGGGTTTTTATTATCAGTACAGTCAAATGAAGAAAAAACCTGTTCATTAGGTCTTTATCTTAAATCTAATGAATCATAATCCATATTCCTTCAGGTCTTTAAAACTGAAGCATCTTAAAAATGGCAGTGACTTGTTAAAAAAGATTCATAATATGTTCTTTTATGGTTAAGAAATGTATAAAAAGTACTTTAATTTCATAGTCAACTTAACAGCTTTTTGATGGCATGTAGTCATTCAAATCTTCTGTATGAAGCCTGGGAAATCAGGAGCTTGGTACTAAAAATACAGTACTGTACAGTGAATTTGTCTGTGCCTATACCATCTCAGAATGAGAAATAGCTATATTTTTCTGTCAAGTATTTACCCAATTTATTCATAGAATAAAAAGGTTACATGGACTCCACCCCATACCCGCTACATGCCAGCCACCAGAGACTGCCAATCACAAGGGCTGGGGGTAGAGGGGAAGTGACTTACCCTCAGGTCAAAAAGGAAGCAGAGGTGAGGACTTACAATTCCTTCCCATAGTATCTCCTGGGGCAACACAATTACATGATGCCCCACATTTAGGGCTGAACTTAAATAATTTTTCATGAGCTACTCCTTACCCAAAAGTTTCTCTCTATTCAAGAAAGGAAGAAGGAGAGGTGTGCCAGCTGGGGTATAGGTTCATTGACACATCCATGTGTGAGAACACACACAAGATCCGCTCACTAATCACAGGGTGACTAATCCTTTACTTTCTTACAAGCTCAGGGCTGAAGGAGTTAGATGCAGGTGTAGGGATCTGCCTGTGTGGAAATCCTTCCAGGACTGAGATCCTTATTGTCAAAGCTAAGAGACATGCTTGTGGTTTACACCATTACTCCTGGCCCACTATTAAATGCACTTTGCTTGGAGTTAACTAAAAGTCAACATAATCCAGTATAAAACAGCAAACACATGAAAACCTGAAAAATAGGATTTACAATGGAAACCCAGAAAAACTCTTATTTAGAGCAAAGCAAGGTGGCAATTTACAATATAGCTAGGTATCAATTGTACTTTTTTCTATATCTCCTTGTAAAAAGATAAAATTTATATTAAAAGAATATGGTATGTTCCAGGAAAAAGAACTAACCTGTAGATGCCCAGTATCGCAATCCATTTCCCATAATTTCTCCGTCTACAAACTCGCCTTCATAATAACTCCCATCCTTAAATAACAGCTTACCATGACCTACGAAACAATAGGTTAGTTCAAATGAGTGACAAAAAAGACTTCTTATAATCTCAGAGACACTACATCTAATTGTTTGAGCAGTAAAGTGAGAATCAGGGCTTCTGAATTCCATCCTCAACAATTTGTGTGACTCAATGTGCAGCCCTGGGCAAGCTACTGCCCCACTCTGTGACTTGATTTACCTGTCTGCAGAAAGGAGATAAAAGTACTTATCTTACAGGGGCTTTGTGAGACTTATTTAATGCCTTTAAAGAATCTTAATCTATTTTAGGCATTCCTAACATTTATCAAAATAATGTTTAGGCACCTAGCCTATTGATGAAAGGAAATGCAGAAGTGCAAAGTATTGTGTGTGTAGGGTAAAAACCTGGCCCCAGTGAAGTCAATGGGAGGTTTGCGATTGACTTCACTGGGGCCAGGATTTCATCTCTAGAGGTTGTAAATTTTGGAGGACAAGGACATTGTTTTCATACCAGTCTGTAAGCACCTAATATAAGGTTGCAAATATACTAGATTCTCATTAATTGTACAAAGACAAAAGAAAGAAAATTACTGTTTTTTTGTTTTATTTGTAAAATATAAACAGAAGTTTTAGAGAACAGTCAAGTGCCACTTGTTTCCAGAGGATGAGAGAACATTGAGTTGAGCTCTTGAACAACAATATTCTTAACTCCTTATTCCTCACATATTTCTAGCAAGTTAAACACTGAATGACTATGTATGATGCACCCAATTCAGAAAGAAGTAAAGACTCTTTCAAGTGTGCTGGAGCATCAGCAGGCACATATGACACACAGTGAGGAAGGAGAGAGGATAACACCCATTCCAAGGATATAATGGACTACAAGAAGGAATCTATGAAGAGTCGGGTAAAGGGGCAGTTTCTCTGTTACTAATTTGTGGCCTTTGGCCAAAAGACTCTGTTCACCTAAAAGGATTTACACCTTTCTATATCCTATATACCTAAAAATCTATGCAGATTTTTGCTCTGGATGCAACTAGCCTACTCAGGAAGAAAAAAAAAAATTTCCTCTTGTTACAATTCTGGCTAAGCAGAGGTCTTTGTGGTGGATGCTCCATGTAGAGGTTCTCCCTTTTCCAGGGCTGACTCTCTGCCAGATTTATGACACCCAAGACCTGTATATTTGTGGCCCTAGAGTCTATTTTTTTTTACACTTAAGAACTAAAGACTGTGATGTCTTTGACTCCCAGGCACATGCCATGCATATCTGGAAAGTCTTAATAGCTGAATTGATTAAATATGTATTTTATTTTCTATACCCTAGGGACCTTCATATTTTTCCTTTTTTTAACTCCTTTGTAATGGACAAGAATCTTCAAAGTACTCAGATGAATCATTAATCAGCCTCTAGGAGTAATAAAATAGATAGAGTTCCTCCACCCCAATTTCATCCCCCTATCATATCAGTAAAGTGCCATAAAGAGCTCAGTGAAGTTGTAAAAGATGGCCATATTCTTCTGGGTGTGACACAGGCTTCCCACCAAGGAATGGGGCAGGATGAGATGTTCAGTCACACCTCATGTGTCATAGCACCAGTCCTAAAACAATATGAATCACAATTAAGCTCTGAAGATAAAATGATTGGAAATCAAGATAACTAACTCGCAAATTTGGAAAAATGGAAGCATTCATATTTAATTGAATGCATAGCTGTGTTCATCTGGCTGGGTTTCTGTCCTTTGCGTGTGTTACTGGTGAAGAGAATTTCTCTGAACTCCTGAAAACAAGACATTTCTTCCTGGAGGGCTGTTAGACATGAAGGTAACTACAACTGTACTTCACCCCAAAATGTCACTGTTGCTTTTCCATTACTTCCTGTACCTCTTTGCCATCCATGACACCAATTATCACTGTCACTGCTTCAGTTGCTTAGCAGAGTCATACATAATCTTACTTTAGCTTCAGTGTATAATAGTGTTTCTACAGAAATTTTACAAATTAAAAAAGTTAGATAAGTGAATTAAAATTTCCCTTCATTGTCAATGGACAAAACTATCTGCCCTTACCATGTTTTCTTCCTTGTTTCCATTCTCCTTCATATTGAAAAAAAGAATTAGGATAAACATACAGTCCATATCCTGAAAAACAAGACAAATATTAGGTAACAAGATGAGATTTCTGGAACTATTTAGCTGAATAATAAAAAGTCATACGTGAATGCTGAAAGAACTGGTAATAGAAAAGTAAGTGTTATTTTCTGTAGATTTGTATACACATCTGCATAGACATTTTTTATCTTGAACTATTAAATAACATTTACACCAAAATAAACATAGGAATTTGTTTATTATTTACATACACATCTTATAAACGTGGGCATCTAGATACTACATTGTTGAGCTCATTATAAATGCTTTAGAGTGTATCACCTAATCCATCTATGTCAAAAATATTATCTGGCATGTCATAACTTGTATAAGTCAAGAATAAGCACACATAAAATGAAGCAATCTTTGTAAGGGGATGACTTTTTTGTTTTGTTTAAAATAGCTTACATACCAGAAAAAAGATACACTCCCTCTTTATTTTAGCAAGAAACAAGTTTTCCTACTTGTACTGTATCTTAAATCTGTCGTTCAAAGTTGTCTCCTACAAAGGAATATGCAGTGGGTAGAACTGACTTTAAAGTAATGTGTTCTCTATGCTAACAGTTTAATGTATTATCATTTCTAGTGATCCCTTTTCTCAGTAGTTTAGTTCTCATTTATACAATGAAGTTGTTCCCTTCTAGAAATCCAGTTTAATTGATAGAGGGCCAGATTCGGGGCTCAGATACAGTTATCCCTCCACTCCCTCAGTGGAGATGTCCTCTGTGGCTTTCCCCCATGGTCCAGACAGACACCCCGTACCCCACTGCACCCCACTCCCACTGTCCAGACCAGATGTGGGCAAACTGTGGCCCGCGGGCCACATCCGGCCCGCGGGACTGTCCTGCCTGGCCCCTGAGCTCCCGGCCGGGGATCCTAGTCCTCGGCCCCTCCCCCGCCCCCCACAGCCACGTCGCTGCGCGGGCCGCGCTCTAGCCCGCCGCTCCCGCTGGGCAGCGTGGAGAGCGCAGCGGGTGTCGTGGCTGCGAGCTCCTGCTGCTGGTAAGGGAGCGGGGCAGGGTGGGTGGGTGGATAAGTAAGGGAGCGGGGGTCCTGGGGGGCAGTCATGGAGGAAGGGTCGGTTGGATGGGGTGGAGGTTCTGGGGGGGGGCAGTCAGTGGATGGGGAACAGGGAGGGTTGGGAGTGCGAGTCCCAGGGGGCCTGTCAGGGGGCAGGGATGTGAATAGGGGTCGGGAGGACAGTCAGGGGACAGGGAGGAGGGGTGGGATCCCAGGGGCAGTTAGGGGTGGGGGGTCCTGAGAGGGAGTGGTCGGGGACGAGGAGCAGAGGGCGGTTGGATTGGGGGGTGGGGGTCCCGGGGGCCTGTCAGGGGGCAGGGTGTGGATAGGGGTCGGGGCAGTCAGGGTACATGGAGCAGGGGGGTTGCATAGGGGGCAGAGGTCCCAGGAGGGGGCGGTCAGGGGACAAGGAGCAGGTTGGTTGGATGGATTGGGGGTTCTGAGGGAGGCAGTCGGGGGCAGGAAGTGAGAAGGGGTGAATAGGGGGAGGGGCCAGGCTGTTTGGGGAGGCACAGCCTTCCCTACCCGGCCCGCCATACCGTTGCACAACCCCGATGTGGCCCTCAGGCCAAAAAGTTTGCCCACCCCTGGTCCAGACGGACGGAGCCTTTTATCCACTCAGTGCTCCAACAGACAGAAGAACCCCCCC